TGCTCCAAACCCCGACCGCTACCAGACCTCAATAGTAAGTGTTACGGAATTTGAAACACGAAGTTGCGTAGCTGTCAGTGTTTGGAGAATAACTCCATTTTAGCTAGACCAAAATAAACGACATTTTTATGGATGATAGATCTACATAAGCTCTACATACACTGAAAATTCCAGGCTCTCTGCTTTTGTCTTCACGGAAATACAGCTCAATAGAGACGAAGAAATGAAGCTCCGTAACGTTCGAAAAAATAGTTTTTGAACAACTTTTTTTCAATATATTTATCAACATACTACTTTCATTGAGTTCATGAAGATTAGATCCCATTTATCTTCAATGATAGCTTATGTCATACTCTTCAAATACATATATTCAATAGCCGTCCAACTTTAAATATGGCTAAGATACAAATAAAATAAAAATGGGGTCGAAACTTATGAAACACCCTTTATTCCATAATGATTTTAATAAACTTGATTTACCAGCACGATGTGCACCTATAAATGATATATATGGTGCGGTCATTGATCATCGTAATTTACAAATACAATAAATATCATGTAAAAATCCAAAGGCTTTTATTTGTGAGCCCATTATTGAGCCATACAGTGTTGGTCGGTTCTGATTTATCTTTTCATTGGCATCGAATAAATGTGTGTCTTTGATTATTTTTTCTATTGTTTTACTGTCTTTCATATCAATATTATCAGAATTAATTGATTTATTTTCCAATATATCGCATAATTGTATTTCTAACATGTTTTCATTAGCACAATTATCTGAATTACTGCCCATACTATTCAATAAAAATGCCAAATGTTCATGATAAAAAAGTCTATCCAATGAATTATGACCAACTTTGGCTAAATAAGTATAGAAGCCTAATATTCCTAACCCAGTTATACCGAGTTCAGCAGCACCAAACTGTGCTAAAGTAGCATTCAATGCAGTACCAGATAACAGTTGGTAACCAAGCCAAAAACCCCCACATGAAATAAAACATATGTACCAGCTAAGGCACTAGCTGTGGCAATAAGATATTGTCCAGAATTTTTTTTGCTCGTTGTACAACATGATTCTGTGTAAGAATACTGTGGTATTTCTGTTAAAGCCCTATATAACTCATTTAATAAGCGAGACATGTCATTGTATAACTTTGCATCAAACGATATTGGTTTGTTGACTTTTTTCATTTGTTGACAAGCATCGAAATGTTTTTCAGCCAGAGATTTAAATTGATGAAATTTGCTAGGTAGTCGATTTGCAAATAATTTCGCAAAATACCATGAGTTATCCTTTGTAGTTGGTGAAAATAAACTACCTTTGGATGTAGACATTCGAAAAATGATCGTAGAAATGTAGCCATTAAAAAATTCGTATCACATTTTTGAAATGTAAATGTTGTCTCTTGTCCAATATCATCATCATGAAGTTCTAGCACTAGATAAATTTTATCAAAATGTGTAGCTAATTGATATCTTCGTGGACCAACTGTAACACGTTTTTGAACTGATACTAAACTATCATTCATTACAACTAATTTATTTCGTGACATTTCCGATATCGTCATGATAGAATTTGGTTGAAATAAATTTTCAGATGTGATCACTCACATTTTTTCATGGGATGATACGAAATCTAAATGATCACCCGTGATTATTATTTTAATATCTGTATGAGAACAAATAGCTGTTGCTTTGTGTATACATGGATCGAAGCATTGAAATTCAGTTACACGTTGATTTGTTCTTCTCGATGTTAATGATTGAGAATTAACCCATGTCGCCACTTTTTTAACGACTGCGTCACAGTTTGATCGTAATGAAACATGGGAATAATATCACAGGATTTTAACGATGAAATATATTTTTCCATATTATGATTAATAATGCTTGCGTTCGTGATTGTTGTTGTCGACGGACCAAATGATTCGATTAATTTTTTCGATATAACAACAATAAATTTTTCTGTATTAGTTTCACGATCTAATTTCACACAGTTACTTTTACAAGTAATCATCCAATCATAACCATCTTCATTATTTAATTCATTGAAAGACATTAATGAGCGAATAAAACCACATTGACCTACTGGTTTGTATTCTGTAATTTCATTTCCTAGAAGCTTTTTCAATTTCGGTAGTAATGAATTTAAAGCTTGAATGGGCAATGGGAGTAGGTCTGGTGATACACCAGTTACGAACGAAATCAATGGCAGTAGTGTCGTAACGATTTCTGAACATTGCTTCCTTTTCTGAAATAAAGGGTTATACGGCCGTAAATATTTTTAAGGTTTATCTGTCTGTCCTAACCAATCAGAAAACAGCAACGGCTAAATCGATAAGACTACTCTTTAATATTTCCTAAAAATCTTCACCGAAGGTTTTTAGTGTCAGAGAATCGATTGGCATCATTAGTTTTTGATGATTTTGCAAAAAAAACTTTTTTACCAAGAAAGGCTTTTTTCAAAAAATAATGATTTTTTTATAAAGTTTGGCCAAAGGTTTTTGGGTGTTGGTGTGGGTGTGGGTGGGTGGTGTGAGTGTGGGTGGGGGTGCGGGTGAATGCGGGTGTAGGTACAGGTGTGGGTGGGTGTGGATATGAGTGTGCGTATGCGTGTGCATGTTCTGAAAAAGCCGAGTTATACTCACACCCACACCCACATCCACACCTACACCCGTACCAACACCCGCACCCACATCCACACTCCACCTACACCCACGCCCACCTACACCTATACCCACACCCCACCTACACACACACCCAAAACTCTATTGAGATTCGCTCTAATACTTCTTTGTGTATTACTTGAACAGGTTCAAAGAAAGTTAATACATCAATTTATTGAAGCGGTGTGATTCGGTTAGCGCAAATGTAGAACTTCAGCTTGTATAATAATTTAACGATGTAAGGAGCAATGAAGCGAAGACTAATAGTTAAGCCACCATATAGACTTAAGATTAGTGATATAACATAAAAAGCATTCTTGCGCTCATTGACTGTGTAGAGACAGTAGATCGGAGCACATTGTTGATAATACGAAGAATACGATACATTGAGATGCCACTGTTCAATAAATAATGCATCGACAATATTCTGAATAGGAATGTTCGATCGAAAACGACTAATTAGTGAAGCGTTCATCGCTGTTGCATTGAACGTTTTCCGCAAAGTTTCTGGTTCACCAGATACCATATAGTACTCTAGATCATCAATCCATGTTTGGTTATACAAAACTTCTAAAGTGGATCTGAGCAATATTTCCAATACTGAACAACCAAGAACCCATCCTGGCATTACCAAAGAAAAGACATTTGAATCAACACAATCACTTCTTGTTCCACACGAGCACTGATTGTTTACAATGGCAGGAGAGGCCAATATAGTTTTTTGCGCTTGAATATCATCTAACCAGAAGTACCAGTTGAAGGCATAGCTGGATACGAATGTATTGCCATGTACGAAATCACGCACAAGTTGTATAGCATGAGAAAAGCGAGAAGCGGTATTACTTTCGAATTGACTCGTTATGTCAGTCATCCGTGATAGAAATTGAAATTCCGATATAGCTTGAGCGCTGAGAAACGTTTTAATCTGGAATTCATCGATTGATTTCTGAATAGCTGCTTGTGCAAGCTTGCATAATGTTGATAAGAGTTGAAAATAAGCACCGCCACCAATGCCAAAATCGGTCGGCGCCAAAATAGTGGGATAGCCATCAATAAACAGGAATTGCATCCATGATTCTTTAACAAAATCACTCGAACATACTTGATGTAATGTAAGATTAGCTGTGACGAAGTTCTTATAAGGGACCGATATATGACTACATGGACAGTAAATTGTAGAACCATACTGAATAATCAACCGTTCGTATTGTATTAAAGATGGAGTCTCAATTCTTTTCTTCACTGTGACTGGTAGTATGACCATACATATGATAATCACCGTGATACTAATGAACAGAGAAAGCAAGTAAATACGTGTTGAAATACGTTCACGCCGAATCACATCGAACCGAGTTGACCCACTGGTGAACAGGTTTAATTTAACAAGCTTATTTCGATATCGAGCCAATCGATCAGGTGCTTCTAAAAAGTATTCTTCTTTTCCTCAGCAATTTATACATCTGTATTTCTTACAACTTTTAAGGTTTATGAAAATGAGTTAAGAACTTTATAACAAACGAACAATCATTTAAAAACTATTTTTGACTCAAATACTTTAGAAAAATGAAAAGGTAACAGAACCAAAAAAAATGATGAGCTTCATTTTGTAGACGTTGTACTAATTTTGGACATCACTGCGGAATTTTGTGACGCAAATATTTATTTTAACTAAAAATATCTTAGTTGAATTTTTGTGTTATCACTAAGTTTTATCAACCAAAACAAGAATAAAATGTTCTGACAAAATATTCAAGCGAGAGTTGAAAGTCAATAAGGTATTATCACGTATATTATACGTTTTGTAGATGAGAGAAATGTTTTCTTTTCAAAATGCTTTTCTCCAGTTCTTTATCATGCATTAATTTCAAGTGTCAATAAAAAGATTGATGACGAAGCGTCTTTTTTTATTGTTTAAAATATAATGAATTTATTTCCACCACTTCTATACTTTTCAGATAAATACTCGCTTTTCTCTGCTTATAATTACATAGCTGAAAGTGTATTTTAAACTTACGATCGCTTATCTCTGGCAGGATACTAATTGTTGATGAAATACTCGTTTGAGCGATTTTGAATAGTTTGAGAAGAAGTTTCGCGATCAAAGGACTTAATAAACGAAGAATGACGTTTGTACCACCGAGAAGACCAATTATCGTTGTAACAATATATATGAGATTGCTTCGCTCTTCATATGTGTATGTGCACAAAGTTGGACGGCAGTTTCTATAATAGGAATCATAGGTCATGGAAGAATTGAAATACTCCACCATGATCTCGTTCACAATCGTATCGAGAGTCGTGTTTGGCAAAAATCGACTGGGCTGATTGAGATCAAGCACACTAATGTTCTCAGGCAGCCGGCTACCAAAATCCTTAAACCTTTGATACACTTTTTTAAAGCACTCGTCGTTGTACCAGCAAGCGAGTGATGATTTAAGTGCAGTATCCACCATGAAACATCTTATTGATATACCCAGAGGTACATCAATGATTCTACTGGTATCATTCTTAACGGTGCAATCCGTGTTCTTCCAACAGCTACAAGCATTTTCAGTATTAAGATTGTATTCTCTGAAAGTGGAGTAAATTAGATATCGTTTTGGCGTTAATACCTCATCGAAATTATACATTTGTAGCTCTGTGTTCGTCCCCAAACCACTCGTATATTGATTACCACGAAGAATATCATTGACCAATAGAATTGTGTAGAGAAATTCGGCGCGTGTCGTTTCCAGAAACGTTCGAATCGATGCGTTTGTTTGTGCAGTGAATATATGACGCGAAAGTACTCGGGCATTCACAAAATTAGTCAATGAAAATCGATTATACGCAGAAGCGAAAGTTTGATTTGCTATCTGACAAAAGAAAGCCAATGCTTGAAAGTATGACGAACCAAGCGAGTAGAAGTAAACATCGAAACGGATCACCAACAGAAAAGACAACGATCGATACCATGAGGACCGAACAAAGTCACTCGAGCAAACCTGATGATAAGTAGGGATGATTCGAATGAATTCTTTGTATGGAATCGAAATGATGGTGCACGGACATTGTAGAGTGTCTGGATAGCGTTCTTGTAACTCTTCATATCTATCTCGAGTTGGTGATTGAATAGTGATAGTGAATGTTTGTATCGATTGGGTTGTGTATAAAATGAGAACAAATATCTCCACGACTATCAATAACACATAGACTTGAGTAGCAACACGTCCCTGACGAACTTCAAATTGATCTTGTGTGTGAACATTACTAAAGAAATTCAATTCGATCAGTTTTGTTTTGACTTTTAACAAGATGCTTCGCCATTTGAACCTCATCGGGATATCTAAAACGGTCAAAATGAGGAATCAGTTTCTTATAATCTAATTATCTTACTATTTTGCACTTCAACTTCAGTGGTTTGACGCAATAACTTCCGTTTCAAAAAGATTAGGCCACCGATAAAGTATGGAATAAGGAGACGTAACACTGCATTAACACCTCCGACCAGACCAAGTAGTGTTGTTAGAAGAAAGATCCAATCGAATCGAGGAGAATACGTGTATGCACAAGAGATCGGAGCACATTCTTCATAGTAGGCAGTAAAAGAGATCGTGTTAAGAATCTCTTCGACAAAGAGTTGATCAATTATTTGTTTAAGAATCATTGTTGATGGAAAACGGCTGGTTGTTGATTCATTTAGAATCGATATATTAATGGTACTTGAATAGACCGTGAGAAAGATATTCATGCAGGACTGATTGTAGAAACATTCTAGTGTTGAAGCAAATGTCATCAATGAAGGCAAGCAATCAAACATGATTCCCGGTAGCGTTATATTCGGAATGATACGGTTGAGATCATAAAAACCAAGTCGCTCTGTGAGATTGAATAGATAGAGACCAGATGGTGTTTGGCAAGATAGATCACGATGGCAGAAACATGACTCATTTCTTCCTGGAAGCAGATAAGCTGTCTGCTCAGTCAGTATATATAATGGAATGCCGTCATACCGTGGCACAGTACCTCCGATGAAATTCGTCTCCACGCCTGTCATAAGGCCATTTACTTGGGCAACAGTTTGAATAGCATTGAGATCTCTTGAAAAGCGCTCGATTGCTGTTTGTCGGGCATTTTCAAGTACCGCTTGGATTTGGGCTTCCAAATATGTTTCCGAAAAAGCAGTATAACTGATCAAAGGATCATTGGTGAACTCTTTCAACGCATCAATGATAGCGTTAGTAGCACTTCGACAGAGAGCAGCGATTATTTGCCACATAGCACTCAGAGTGGTGCGCAGATCCATTGGCCAAAGTATAGCCAGATTCTCTCCAAAACTAAAATCGATCCACTCTTGAGAGACGAAATCACTGTAACAAACCTGATGAAACAATGGATTTATTTCTACAAATCTGCCATGTGGAATTGAAATTTGTGTGCAAGGACAATACAAAGTGTTTGAATATTTGCTTTCAAGTTTTTCGAATGTAGCGAGACTTGGTTGTTGCAAAGTTTGAGTTTTGACTTGTTCACTGATTGACGTATAAGTCAACAGAATGATAAGTGCAATACCAAACAGGATCAGAAAGAGACGAGTAGCAAGAATTTGGCGACGTATAATGGTAGGCTCTGTAGATCGACTTTTGAACAGATTCAAATGAATAAGTTGCTCACTTAGACTGTGATACAATCTTTGTAGTTGATAGGGTATTGCCATTTCAAGAAATACTGCAGAGAAAGGTAGCTGTTTGCTGTTGAATGACTTCTAATGTATAATGATCCTTCTGTATGCGTGATATCTGAAATGTTTTCTGTAAAATAGATTTAAGGGTCATATATTTCCGTTTTGTGTAGCAATTTTCTGGATTTTCGACCATTTATCCAATAAAAATAATTAAGAGGTAAACATTGACCGAAGGAAACTTTCAAATAGAAATGAAAACACATTCTATTATGGAACTTGCATTATGTAAGAGCTGCGAGCTTTTTTCAGATGATTAGCGTACGGCTACTTAATTAATCAAGCTGTTTTTCACTAGTCAATGATAATTGTGAGAAGCTCTCCCTGATTTATGCTGCATTTAGTAGATTAATTTCTTTTATTGTTGCTCTCCACACCATATTGTTGATGCTGAGGGTTTGAGTGTGGGTATGGACTTTAATCAATTCTTAATGCGAACCCACACCCACACCCACCATGAATGAGATATTTTTAGCATTTATTAGGATTAGTGTCAGTCGCATATCTGTTGTACGAAATTGGATAAAAATTTCGGGTTTGCATAGAATTGTAGATCTTGAGTGGGAGAATCTAATGCACTCAACATAATTGAAAATCTAGACATTTGTCACATCACTTTTAATGCTTCTTTCGACCTACGAATTGAAGTGATTAGTATCAAATAGAAAGATGCAGAACCACCGCCTCTTACTAAAGATAAAAACCGCAGATAGCATGAGTTGCCTAATTCGAGTTCGAATATAAATGAACTCCTTAATGCTAATCAACATTTATAAAATGAAAAAAATTTCAAGCGACTCTTTCATGTATTTTTATAAATAAAAGAACAAGACAAGTTTACCTTCTCAATACGCTACAGGCATCACCTGAGATTCTACAAGCTTCACATTGGATGCTATAGACATCATCCGTGATCCTGGAGGCATAGCCTATGATGCTGCAGACAACAACTGTGATGCTAGAAGCATGGTCTGCTTTACTAAAGGCATCAGCTTGGTGGTAAATAAAATCAGCGGTGATGTAAACCGCATCACGTAGAATGCCACAGGTAGCAACTGGAACACTGGGCGACAGCTAGGATGATGAAGACAAAGCCTTGGATGCTATAGACAAGGAGTATGATCCAAAAGCTGGTGTTTGAGATTCGTGAGACTGTGATTGTGATGCTACAAAAGCTTTCTTTGGTACGATCCATCGCACCTGAGATGCTCAACCAAGCATAGCGGGCAACGGTTTACCAAGATCACGTCTAATTAACATGCATAAGCATTCCATATAAATAATTGTAACTCTATTTCAATAATGCAATCCTGAAAGAGATAGTCTAGGTAATAAACTTATGAGTTTAT